TGAGTGATGGGCTGGGAGCAGGATGGCGTGGGGAGAAGCACTTGGGTTCAAAGTCAGGGACACATTAGGACAAAGCCATGAAACCACACACACGGTGGCAGCACAGGGCCAGCAGCGTGCGCATGCACACACACACACACACACACACACGCACGCACGAGCCACAGCGGACACTCACCTCTCAAAGATGAAGCGTATGGCCACCAGGGCCAGTGCCAGGGGCAGGGCCACCAGCATGTCCTGGGGGTGGGCGTAGACCAGGCCATCTCGGTCCTCCAGGTCAGCCCATGAGCTGTTCGGTGGTAGCCAGAACCTGTCCTGCCACAGCCACTCATTCAGGCCAGACCACATCCTGTGGACAGACGGTCCAGTTAGTGGGCAGGTGAGCACGCAGGTGGCTGGAGCTGGAGGGCCCCCCACCCGGCCCTTGTTCCCCCGGCGCCTGGCAACCTGAGTTTATTACAGCCAGTGTTAAGGACTGACTTGGGCTGTGTGTCCTCAAGCAAATGACCTGACTTCTCTGAACCTCAAGTTCATCTGTAAAACGGGCAGTAATAGCCACCTGTCAGCCCAGCCTGCTCAGGCACACCAAGTGCTTAGCCTGGTGCCTGCTGATCCTTAACAACACAGCTCATAACAGTAGTTACTATTCCGTACTTTACAGACAAGAAAACTGTGGCTAGAAGTCAAGGGAGAGGCTGACTGGAGTCATTACCTCAAGCTCTTAAGTGTCCCAGGAATGTTTCCCGCCATTGTGGGAAGGTGCTCTGATGCAGCCCAAAGATGAAGGATTTAGGGAAATCTGCAATTCCCTCCCTAGCCATCCTCCGCAACACGCAACACGAACTCCTCAGGAGGTGCGAATGTCAGCTATCTCGCTGGCTTGGGCAGCAGCAGGGTAAAAGAGCCAACCGCAAGACCAAGCTTCTCAAATAACACAGCAGCAACCAAGGTGAGCCAGCTTTCCATCAAGAGCTGCAGGGGAGCAGCCCCTACCTGCAGAGCCCAGCTGTCCTGAGTAGCCACACAGCTTCTCCCTTTCTTGAGATCTTAAGACAAGTGCCCAGAACCCCCACCATAACCCACCAGAACCCCCACGCTGATCCTCGCTCAGAATGTTTGTTCACTCATTTGTCCATACGTCCGTCCATCCGTCCATCCATCCATCCATCCATCCACCCATCCATCCATCTACCTACCCACAAGATATTCTCTGACTGACTTATACATGCCAACCCAGGCTGGGTGTTGGGGTCACAGCAAGGAAAAAAGCAGACACATTCCTGTCTCCATGGAGCTCCCAGCCCAGCAGGGTAGGCAGCCAATATGCAAATAAACAGATTCATAGATAAATGAAATAACCTCAATGTGATGGGGCCTGGCAGAAAATAAATAGGGTGACCAAGGTAGGGCTCTCTAAGGAGAAACCATCTCAGCTGAGACCTAGAGATGAGAAGGACCTGGGTTTACACAGAGGAGGGGTGTGGTGGTACAGAGGGGCTTTCCAGAGACCCAAAGCAGCATGTGCAAAGGCCCTGAGGCAGCAATGAGATAGAGAGCAAGAGGGTCAGTGAAGAAGCCTGTGTGGCTGGAGGGGAAGATAGAGAGGTGAAAGCAGGGAGGGGACTGGGCAGGTCGTGCAGGGCCCGTGGGCTGTGGGAAAGAATGTAGATGGTTTCCCCCAACGCTTTATGAGAAAAATCTTCAAACTTGCAGAAAGGTAGAAAGAGTTACAATGAACATCTATGTGCCCACTGTTAGATTCTACCATTCACATCCTGCCATTTTCTTCATTACACTTGCCCATGCTCCATCCCTTTCTCTATCCAGCCATTAGTCCATCTGATTTTTCTGGATGCATTTCAAAAGCAGCAGCAGACACCAAGCCACAGCATTTCACAGTATCCCTATGTATTTCAGCATGCGGATCATAACTTGGGTTCGACATGTGCTTATGGATTTTCTTTTTCTTTCAAGATAAATTTTACTAGAGCAAAATGCATCAATCGGAAGTGGAGAGTCGCTGAGTTTTGGCAAATGGCCATACCTGTGTAACCCAACCTTCCACCACAAACATTCTTGTTTTTCCACAAAGTTCTGTCATACGCTTTGCCAGTGAATCTTCATCTCCACTGTCCTAAGGTCACCTCTGTCCCAGTTTTTTTCCATCTGTACTGGGGGGAGTCTGTCAGATGGATGGAAGGGCCCCGAGGAGCAGGCTGTTTTATTTGTTCTAGAACTTCACATAAATTTATGGACGCACAGACTCCATCGTCACGCCTGGCTGCTTTCACCGAGTCGTGTTTTTAAGACTCACCCATGTTGCATCTACCAGTAGCTTCTTTCCTTTTTAATACGGAATCGTGGGCACCGTACGAATATACCACAGTTGATTACCATTCGCTCGTTGATGGGTGTTTGGGATGCTTCCAGTCTGGGATAATTATGAGCAAAGCTGTTATGAACATTTGCGTCTGAATAGTGTGTGAACGGAAGTTTTCACGTCTCCTGAAGTTAAACACGGCCACGTCGTGTGTTTAACTTTATAAGCGACTGCCAAACTGTTTTCCGGGATGGCTGCACCAATTTACACTCCTGCCCGTGGAGTCTGGGGGTTCTGTGCTTGTGGTTTTATTTTAGGCAAGGTGGCAAGTCATGGGGTGTTAGTTGCCATGCAGGAAGCGGCCTATAGGAGGCCAGATGGGGCGCTGTGGGCTGTCCAGATGAGGTGGGTGGGGTGGAAAGAAGGAGACATTTCCAGAGAGATTTTAGAGGCAGAGCCCCCAAGAGTTGAACACCCTCAAGAAAGGAGCCAGAAGAAAAGCAGGCACATACAGTTCCATTTATGTCAAGTTCAACGCCAGGCAAAACAAATGATGCTTGTGTTGGCTTCCTGTGGCTGCTGTACAGTTACCACAGATTTCATGGCTTAAAACATTACAGATTTATTCTCTTACAGTTCTGAGGGTCAGAAGTCTGAAACGGATCTCGACAGGCTAACGTCGGTGTGTCGGCAGGGCTGCTGCGATCCTTCTGGAAGCTCTCGGAGAGAATGTGTTTCTGTGCCTCTTCCAGCTTCTAGAGGTGCCTGCATTTCTTGGCTCGTGGCCTCTTCCTCCGTCTTCAAAGAGAGAGCAGCACAGCATCTTCAAATTTCTCTGACCCTCCTGCCTCCTTCTTACAAGGAACCCTGTGATTACTTTGGGACCCCCAGGTAATCCAGGGTCATTGCCCACCTCATGGTCAGCCTGTTAGCAACCTTAATTCCACAGGCAAACTCAATTCCCCTTTGCCATGACAAGTAACATATTCCCAGGCCTCAGGATTAGGATGTGGACATCTTTCAGGGGCATTATTCTGCCGGCTACATTGCTGGCTGTCGGGACAGTGGTTGCTCTTAGGGTAAGGTAGTGACCGGAGAGGCCATGAGATCTCGGCTGCTGAGGCCTGGAAGTTTCTGTCCTGATCTGGGTGCCGTTTTGATTGAGATAATTCACTGAGTTGTGCATCTATGATGTGGGGCCTTTTCTCTGTGCAAATTAAAATGTCTACAATTTAAAAAGTCTGCGATTCAGATTTCAGTTCTGACATGTGGGTTTTCTCCCCAAACCTACAAGCAATTCTCTGACACCAGCTGGATGTCCTATAATTCAGCTCAATTCTGACACTATCTATCTGGAGACAATGGCAGATATCACAGGTTGAGGACTCCAACCCACAAGACCGCTCCGCACCCCCACCCCACCCCCTGCTCCCTACTTCAGACACAGTCACCCGGGCTTTTGACCAACTTGCTACAGAATGGAGTTTCCCACCAACCTCCTCTTGGGTTTGATGAATTTGCCGGAGCATCTCAAAGAACTCAGAGAAACAGTTTACTCACTATCAGTATATTATAAAGAACACAACTCAGGAGCAGCCAGATGGAAGAGATGCATAAGGCCAGGTGCAGGGAAGGGTGCAGAGCTGCCACGCCCTCTCCGGCGACCTGTCTCCCTGAATCTTCAGGTGTTCACAACCTGGGAGCTCACCGAACCTTGTCCCTTTGGGTTTTCACAGAGGCTTCATTATATGGTCATGACTGATTGATTATATCATTAGCTATTGGACTGAGTCTACCTCCAGCCCCTCTCCCCTCCCTGGAGGTCCTGCGGTAGGACTGAAAGTTCCAAACCCCTGGTCACAGGATTGGGTCCCCTGACAGTCAGCCCCATCCTTAGGGGACCAAGGGGGGACTTTCCCAGAGTCACCTCATTACCATAACGAAAGACATCTTTATCACACTCTCAATTCCCATGGCTTTAGGAGCTGTGCCAGGACAGGGAACAAAGACCAAGTTTGTATTTCTCATTTTCAATCACAATATCACAAGTCAAAGACAGAAAAAAGGAAAATTAGAGTCTGAGGAACTGGGTGAACCAGGTGGGGTGAGAGGATCTGGGGCAGGAGTGGGGTTCAGTGTTGAACAAAACAAGCACGGGGGCCTCAGATGTCCCCATGGTCACATGGAAGGGACAGGAGCTCCGTGGGCCTGGGTGGGGCTGGGGGAAGGCCCGGGCAGGACTGGGCAGTGTGTGGCTGATGTTTAAACCCAAGGGGATGGATGGAATCTCCGGGGAGGGGGAAGCAGCCCCCCGACCACACTGGGGGAATCCGGCATTTAGGCATCCGTGAGTAATTAGCGGTGGCAACTGCCACTGGACACCTGGTGGGGGAGGAGCACTAGACGGCAGCAGCTTGGCAAAGGTCAAGGATGTGTGGCAGTGGCTGGTTTAGACCCACGAGGCTCAGGCGGCCCAGACAGAACAGGCAGATGGACAGGAACACGCAGGTGGTCGATCTCTCTGTCTTCACCAACAGGCAAGGCTGGCTTGATTACGTGCATCCACTGGGCATCTGGGTACATGCCCAGCCTGGCCTTCCCCGACCCACCGCAGGGCATCTCCAGCCTCCTCCTCAGGGGCCCTCCCACCCATCAGACAGACCTACCCCCGAGTGCCGGTGGAAGTGGGCTGGGAGTCCAGATCCCCAGCCCCATGTTCTCCCCTGCCCCAAAGGTGCCCAGACCAGACCAGGGTCCATTGAAGACGTGGTGCCTGCAAGTCACGATGAGACAAGGGACAAGGGAGAATACATAAGAAGAATGGCAGCTTGTAATCTCGGGCCTCTGCCGATGTCCCCAGCCTCAGAGCCCACCATTCATTGCCTGACACTCTGCTCCCACCACACTGTATGATTTCACACACAGCAGCCTTTACAAGTGCTGTCCTCTGCCTGGAGCGCCCATCTGCTATTTATCGCCCCACGCTGGGTGGTGAGGACACAGAATGGTGGGAAAGCAGGCAAGAACTCTGCCCCCGCAGGCTTACCCATCTTCTCTGTCTGGCTGGCAATCTCCCACGCGTCCTTTAAAACCCAGTTCAGTTGTTGCTTCCTCCTGAAGGCACCTCCGGATTGCCCCCACCTTGGATCCACTTAAAGCACCTCCCTGAGCCCTGCCTCACTCACTCTGCCGTTGGGAGCTGGCCACGCAGTCCTTTTGGAGGCGGTGAGGGGTGGAGAAGGGCACACGACCAGCCGTGAATCTTAGTCCCCTTGGCTGAAGCAGGCCCAGCCCCTTCTGGCCCCCAAGTCATTTTGGAACAGCACTTGCCAACCCAGGGAGCCCTCCGAGGGGGCTTCAGACAGACGCCTCCTGCCCTGGCTGCAGAGGTCTCGGCCCTGGAGGTTCTACCTTCTCTCTAAGCCGTGTTTGTCTCTCCCCACACCCGCTTCGCCCCTTGATAAAGAAGAGGGGAAGCAGAGGGCTGGAGTCGCAGCTCCGGTGCTCCCGGTCCTGGGCGCCTCAATTTTTTCCCCCACCTGTGGGTGGGACAGGCTCAGGAGCAGATGTAACCATCCATGGCCAGCGGGGTCCCAGCTTCTCCTGCACCCCTGAACCTCCCAGACGCCCTCTCCCCGAGGGACCGGAGGAAGTGGGGCCCAGGGTGTCATGCCTCCTCGATCTGCATGATTTGGACCCCAGCTCCTCTGCCTTCCTGGGCCTCGGCCATCCCGGCTGAAAAATGGGTACAGCCAGACCTCCTGCTTCACCAGGAGGCTGGGCAGTTCGCAAACACTGGCAGACGAGATTCCTGTCCCACCTGTTCACCCATCATGCGACCTCAGGCAAGTGATCCAGTTGCATCATGCCTCAGTTTCCTCATCTTAAAATGGGAATAACAATAGGCTTTCCTCATCTTAAAATGGGAATAACAATGACTGGAATGGTGCCTGGGGCGAGTGAGCACTAGGTGGTTTACTTACTTGCCGTCAGCGGCACTGAGGAGAGGGGAGGGCTGGGGAAGGTTTGGAAAGGAGGGCTGCGGGCCTGTGGCAGGTTCTGGGCGCTTCGTCCCAAAACATCCCTGGGCCTCTGCACAGGCACCTCCCCTTAGAGCTGGAGCTAATGAGCTCAGGCTGGGTTCAGCCAGGGCCACTGGGTTCACTTGGAGAATCACTCAGCGGGCGGCTGGACCAACCTGACCAGCCAGAGCCTTCATTCCCGTCATCCCATGCACACACCCGTCCCCCGCCCCCCGCGGCCTGCCCTATCTCCCAGCCCAACTGCATCTTGAAGCCCCTTTGGCTTTATTCCCAGCCCCGCCCCTGCCACCTGGAGCCAGACTCTGATAATCCTTCTTAGCAGCTAAAAATATCCCCAGATTAGGGGAGACAGAGAGATTAGGGCTTCCTGCTAACAGGAAGAGGGGGAGCAGAGGATCCCTGGCCCACACTAGGGGTCTGAATGAGCACACCTGGTCCCTATTATTCTCCTGAACCCCCAAACATCCCAGTATCGCCCAGCAGAGCAGGACTGTGAACACAGGTTTATTTTGTTTTATTTACAATCAAGCTAGAAACGCAGGGCTTGCCAGGCTGTGAAAAAGGAAATAGATTCAGACTCCAGATGTCCAGGCCCAGTTGAAGGACAGAGAGATGGATGGGGACGGACACACTCACACACAGCCACCCGGCCCTGCAGCCTGGCCCGCTGCCTGGGGTCACCTGACTCCTGCGGCTGGAGGCCCAGGGAAAGAACACATGATGTGCTAAGTCCATAACCATGGCTGCTCCTGCACTGGGCCCTGGCTGTCCCCGGCTCCTCCATTGTGGGCCTCTCTGAGCAGGGTCCCCAAAGGGTGCTGATGACTAGAGCTGCAGCCAGTCCAGGAGACACTACCATGCCGCTCCCTGCACAGACTGGAAGAAGGGCCCCAAGTTCAGGGCTCTGCCTCACCCCAGCCCCACCCCCCATATCTGGACACACTCCTGCCCTCCACACGCCCCTCTCCCCAGCAGCTCGATTCACTGCTGTGGCTACTTGGTGGGCTTCTAACCCACCAAGCTCATTCCTGCCCTGGGGGCCTCTGCATGAGCTGTCCCCGCCCACAGCTGTGTTGGTCTGCCTCATCATGCACACCTCAGCTCACTTGTCACTTCCTCAGAGAAGCCTTCTCAGCTTGCTACTAAAGAAGCCACCACATTATTACATCTTCTTACCCTCTTTCGTTCCTTCAGCCCTGTCATGCCAGTTGATCTGTTTTCTTACTTACCTGTTTGTCTGCCTCACCGCAAGGCAGAAGCCGCACAGAGGCATGAATGTTGTTTTAGTCACTGCTGTGTCCTCAGACAGGTCGTGGCACAACATTATGCGCCAACTAAACACTAAGTGGATGAATGAGTGGGTAGAACACACATTCTCACAGGTGGGTGGATGTGAAGACTTGAGCTCAGGTAGTCGAACTTTCTAGCAAAAGAGACCACTTTCTTTAACAGGCAAGGTCAACTTGATACCTGTGAAGTAGGTCCACTGTCTCCCTAGAAACTGGGGAGCCTGAGGCTCAAAGCCAGAAGCCACTGGACACAGGTCACTCAGCTAGCAATGGAGGGGGCCAGGGCTAGAAGTTCCATGGGGGTCGGGGGGTTCTGCTCTGTTCCACCAGGGGAAAGAGGGCTCCCCAGGCCTGCCTCTTCCTGTTGAGGTTTCCCCAGGGAGCAAGCTCTTCCCCACTGCCCTCAGGCTCAGGAGTCTGGGTGAGCCAAGCTGGGTCCCCTGGTATCCCCAGCCCATTGGCCAAC